TTTTTTTTTTTTTAATTGTTTTTATTCATTCATTTTATTTTAATTTCACCTGACACACACATACACACACAGAGAGAGGGTAAGAGAGAAAGCAAGCCACCAGATCCAGGACTCGAACTATGGTCGGCCATGTGGGAGTATCCAACACTTTAACTACCATGCCACCTGCCGGCCCCTTTGGGACTGGGATTCACACTGTGGTTGACCATGGGATCCAGTTCTCGATGCAGTGTCTGAATTACTGTCATTTCATAGTAAGTCTTAATATTAGGGAGCATTACTTCTCCAACTTTGTCCTTCTGCAAAATAGTTTCCGAATCTTCTAAGATCATTGTATTTCCTTATACATTTTGGAATCAGCTTGTCATTTTTGTACATACAGGGGTTGGGACCAGCAGTTGGTGTAATGGCTATGTCACTGAACTCCCATGTAGTTGACCTCGGTTCTAGCCTCGGTTCGAGCCCCAGATCTGGTAGCTTAAACTCACACTGGGTGCGCATGTGTGTGTGCCCAAGATCCCAAGAGGAAAATGTAGGAGAAGGGATTGCGGTGTGGCCATCCCCCTGGGGGGTGATTTCTTGCTCTCTGTCTCTCTGTCTCTCTCTGTCTTTCTGGCGAGCGTACACACTCTATAGCAAAAATCTCTCAAAAAAATACAGGGATTTAGACTGGGATTGTGACGAGTTCATAGATCATTGCAGAAAGAAATCAGAGTCACTAAAAACGAGGGACTATTAGATATGACCCTCCATCAGCCTGGCATTAACCCTTTCCTCCAGACTCTGTTTAAACTTCTAATATATAAAAGCAAACATTTCTGTTTTTGTTTTTAAGAATTATTTTAGTTTCTTTTTTTTTTTTTTGAGAGTTTTTTGATATAGGGTGCGTGCGCTCGCCAGACAGAGACAGAAAGCAAGAAATCACCCTCCAGGGGGGATGGCCACGCCGCAATCCCTTCTCCTCTATTCTCCTCTCGGGATCTTGGGCACGCACACACACGCCATGCGCCCGGCGTGAGTTTTAAGCCACCGAGTCTGAAACGCGAACCGCGGTCGACTACATGGGAGTCCAGCGACATAGCCATTACGCTAACTGCTGGTCCCTTTAAGAATTATTTTAAATCTTTATTTATTTATTTATTTTAATTTGACCAGAGAGAGAGACACACACAGAGATTGGGGTCTAGTGAGAACGCAAGCAAGCCACCAGGTCTGGGACTCAAACTATGGTCAGCCATGTGGGAGTGTCCAGTGCCTTATCCACCATGCCACCTGCTGGTCTCCAAGAATTATTTTATTTATTTATTTATTTATTTAAACTTGACCATAGAGGAACAGAGAGAGAGTGAGAGAGAGGGAAAGCAAGAAAGGAAGCCAGACTCGAATCTCCGTCGGCCATGTGGGAGTCTGGCTCCCTTAACCACCACGCCACCTGCTGGCCCCACAAAGGGAACATTTCAGTGTATATTGGATTTAGTGACTATGTCAGCATTAAGTTCATTTTAAACCACTTTTTTTTTTGGAGAGGTTTTTGCTATAGGGCACGTGCACTCACCAGACAGACAGAGAGAGACAGAGAGATAGAAAGCGAGAAATCACCCCCCAAGAGGGGACGGTCACGCTGCAATCCCTTCTCCTCCATTCTCCTCTCAGGATCTTGGGCATGCACGCACACGTGCCCAGCGTGAGTTTTAAGCCACCGGGTCCAGGACGGGAACCGCGATTGACTACATGGGAATCCAGCGACATAGCCATTACGCTAACTGCTGGTTCCCCATTTTAAGCAATTTTTTATCATTATTCTTACACATTCCTCAGTATATGGGCTTGGGCTCTTCATACCAGCACCCCAGGAAGAACTGAGCAGCTTATTGGCATCTTGTTCCTCATCGGGTCCCAGGGCCTGTGTGATGCGCACACAGCACGTGCGATAACTGAGGGGGCTGAGGCAGTCACTGCATCGTCCACGCAGGGAGGGAGGCACAGCCACACCAGCTGTGTCCACGAGTCCTTTGTAGAGTTACACGGAGGGGTCCTGCTCTGCTGCTGTGAGAGAGCATGGCCACCTATGGCCTGGTCACGCCCCACGGCCCCATGACTGGCCTTCAGATGGGACCTTTAGAAATGACATTCTAGGCCAAGCTGGTGTGGTGTGTACCCATGGTCACAGCTAACCAGGAGGCAGGTGGGAGGATTCGGTGTGCCAAGGCCCTGTCAAGACTGCCTCCCTTGTAGGGACCAGGAGATGGCATAATGGTTACATCGCTGGACTCTCACGTAATCAATCGTGGTTTGAGTCCCAGACCTGGCGACTTAAAACTCACACTGGGTGCATATGTGTACATACCCAGGATCCTGAGAGGAGAATGGAGGAGAGGGGATTGCGGTGTGGCCATTCCCCCAGGGGGCGTGATTTCTTGCTTTCTGTCTCTGTCTCTTCAGCAAGCTCACGCGCCCTATAGCAAAAATCTCTCTTAAAGAAGAAAAAGAATACCTCCCTTGCTCTCTCCCTCCTGTACCTGCCCTTTCACTTAAAAACAAAACCCTTGTGCCTCCCATTTGTGGATTGGATAGGAGCCCTTCTGCCCTAATCATCTCCTGTAGGTCCCACCTTTTTAGGTTTTCTTTTTCACCGTAGGGTACATCTGCTCACCAGAGAGAGAGCAACAGAGAAAGAGAATGTCATGGTCATGCTGTGGTCCCTTCCCTGCTCTCCCCCTGATTTTGGGCATGCACACATGTGTACCCGGCATGATTTTTTTTTTTCAAAGAATTATTTATTTAACTTTATTTATTCATTTTATTATTTTTTTTAATTTATTCATTTTAATTTGACCAGAGAAGGACAGAGAGAGAGAGAGAAAGCCACCAGCTCCTGGACTCGAACCATGGTCGGACATGTGGGAGTCCAGCGCCCTTAACCACCATGTCACCTGTTGGCCCCTACCCAGCATGATTTTTTTTCTTTTTTTTTGAGAGGTTTTTTCGCTATAGGGCATGTGCACTCGCCAGACAGACAGAGACAGACATAGAGACAGAAAGCGAGAAATCACCCCCAGAGGGGATGGTCACGCCGCAATCCCTTCTCCTCCATTCTCCTCCCGGGATCTTCGGGACGCGAACCACGGTCGACTACGTGGGAGTCCAGCGACATAGCCATTACACCAATTTCCAGCATGATTTTTAAGCCACCAGCTCTGGGACTTGAACTGTGGTTGGCCAAGTGGCAGAATAGCACTTAACCTCCACGCCACCTGCTGGCCCTGGCCTCACCATTTCTTGTTTGTTTTTAGAGAGATTTGTGCTATAGGACACGCACGCTCACTGGAGAGACAGGAAGTGAGGAATCACCCCCTGGGGGATGGTCATGCCACAGTTTCTCATCCTCCATTCTCCTGTTGGGATTTTGGACACTCATGCACACATGCCTGCATGAGTTTTAAGCCATCAGATCCAGGACTTGAACTGGGGTTGACCACGCAGGAGTCCAGCAACATAGCCACTTCACCATCTGCTGGTCCCCCGGCCCCACCTTTGAACACCATCAGTTAGGGGGTTAGGTTTCAGTGCGTAGATATGGGGGTCATGCATTCCCACCGGCTCACAGGAGGGATGCACGGCTCTGCAGCTCCCAAAGGAGCGTTTTAGCTGCTCTGGTGGAGCTGGCCAGGGGCAGAGATGTCATGCCATCCTGCTCCTCTGTACCCCTCAGACGTGGTGGGGATCAGGATGCTACCACAGAGCTGTCCTCTTGTCACCTGCTACCCAGTCGCCTCCATAGGACTGTGCTTCACAAAAGCCCCTGAAGGAGAAAAGCCCTAAGACCAGGGAGGAGTGCTCAAACCTCTTGTGGAGGTAGTGAGTGGTACTCCCATCCAGATTGCTCACTTAGTAGTTACTTTTCAGGAGGTTTCTATTTTCTATTTTCTAATTAAAAATTTTTTTGTAAAGTTATCAGCAGGCACATTTACCTGCCGAGAGAGGGAGGGAAAAGGCACCGCCCACCTCCAGCACACAAGGCATGGTCACACCAGTCATTTCTCCACCTCTCCACCCTGTCTGCACTCAGAGCGTGTACGCACACACGCCAAGCATGTTTTCCAAGCCGTCAGGGCTGGGGTTCAAACCACGTGGTTGGCCTAGTGGGGTACAGCTGCCTTAACCACCAGGCCATGGTGCTGGCTCTCAGGTGGGTTTTAATGAGCAAGGGAGTCTTGCTCTGTTTGAGGTTTTCTCTGGTTAAGCTAGGCTGGTGTGTCTGGATCTAGTCTGTCCTGGGGAGCACGTGGGGTCTCCGCCGGGCCATTTCTGGCCAGTTCAGTCAACCCCAGCGAGCCCCTGGACTGTCCGCATACCTCACCCCAGCTCCCTCGGTGCTATGCGTTGGCACTTGGCTTTCTCTCCCCAGGACACTGGCATCGGGATGACACAGGAAGAGCTGGTGTCCAACCTGGGGACAATTGCCAGGTCAGGGTCAAAGGTAAGCCCAGCTCAGGCATCGCCTCTCCCTTAGGGCAGGGTCTCCTGTTGGGGGGCCCTGGAGTAAGAGCGGGAGGGGCCACGGCAGCACCTGGTGACGGTTAGGTACAGGGGCAGGGGTTGCACGGGTAGGTTCGGGTAGTCATCTTACAGGCGTGGTGGTTGAAGTAAGTACTTTGGTAGACATGGACAGGGTTCCAGGCCCTTCAGTCCGGGTCTAGTACGCTCCGTGAGGGCCTTAGTGAGCCCTGTGCTGCATGGGCTGCACCTGGAGATGAGATTGCCCTCAGCATGTTCATAAGAGCAGGGCTGCCGTGTCTGCGGGTGTCACGGTTCTTGTCAGAGCGGCTTCGTGGGACTTCTCGGCCAGGAGGGGCGTTTCGCTGCCGGTGTGGCTTTGGGGCCCACATCGGGAAGACGAGTTTGGTGGTCAAGGTCTTCTCTGCAGCCAGACAGGTTGGTGTCTGTGCCGACCTAGGACAAAGGCCAGGCGGCCCTGGGCTGTTGCCCTGGTGCCACTTCTTGGTAGCTGAATTGTTGGTCCAAAGCGATTCACAGAATTTTTTGTTTATCATTATTGCCAGAAGGTGCATGCATGATAGAGTGAGTGAGCAAGCGCACACACTTCTCAGTGGGGCGTGACCACACTGTAGGCCCTTCTCCCACCTCTGCCTCCTGTCAGGATTTTGGACATGCATGCACTCTTGCCTGGTATGCTTTTGAAACTGCCAGAGTTCCGCATAGTCAACCATATGGGATCCGGCTGCCTTCACCACCAGGCCATGGAGTCGGCCCTGTAGAAGTTTCAGCTTTTAAAAACCTGCCATAAACGTGACTTTCCCCTTTCACTATCTGTCCCTGGCAGGGGTAGTGTGTGCTGTCCCGCAGAGTAGCCTCCAGTTACATGTCTGTTTAGCTGCATTCAAATTAAGCACAGTTTGCAGCTTAGCTCTTTAGTCAATAGCCACTTTTCACGGTCTCAGCGGCCAGATCTGGTCAGAGATAGGTCCTCTCCAGTGTTGCAGAATGTTCTGCCGGATGGCGCTGGGTGGGCAGTGGGCACAAGCGTTTGGCTTGGTTTGCAATCTGGGCAACTTTGATTACTTTGGAGTAGGTCGTTCGGGCCGTGTGATACTGTACAGAACAGGCCTGGCTGCACTGTTTTCCACGAGTTGCTCTGCAGAAGACCAGCCTGGAGTACAGTAGGCCAGCCTGCAGTATAGGAAACAACCTGCAGCAGACTGACCCACAGGAGAGTGACCTACAGTGTGGAAGACTGACCTACAGGAGACGGACCTGCAATAGACTGACCTGCAATAGACTGACCTCCAATAGACCCCCACCTGCGGGAGACCCACCTGCAATAGACTGACCTCCAATAGACCCACCTGCAATAGACCCACCTCCCATAGACCC